TTATAGCAGCCAATCCAGCCCAGAATATAGATTGTACTTCCCAGAGCAAAAGGACTGTGTGTATCCAGGCATCTAGTGTATCACGTTGGTGTAATGACAACATATATTACAGTGGTTCATATTAATAAATGAAGTTGTTGACCAATCAGGAAGTGGGAATTGAAGCATGACAATTTCCGAGAATGCCACACTCTGATACTGCGATGAATGAGATCCATTCATTATGTGACTGGAAGCCGCAGAATACAGAAATTGCAGAGATTTAATACACCGTCTTTAAATATATATCCCAGACCACAAAACCTCAAATCTGTATTGTAGTTTGTGTCTGTGCAGGGGAGACTTTGCCTCATTTCCTGTGTGATGAATGTGAAAGGGGAAATCTCAACTGGGGCACAGCAATACAATATTCCCAACAGGGCACATATAGAAATACAAATTTTAACAGAGGTTCTAACCCTATCCATTGGTTGAAGTTTCACTTTAAATATGGAGGAGTAAAGCTTCCCCGTGTCTGTTCTTAGAGGCTTCCAGCCACAGAATAAAATGTTTTCAGAGTTTCACAACAGTCCTGGAACATGGAATTCTGGGAGATGCTCATTCTCTAACTAGCCATTGATTTCCTCCATTGGTGGGAAACATTGTAACAAACCCTAGCTTTAATTTCCTAAGCTGGAATGGTGGCTATTTCTCATAACAGCTGTTATGTTTCAGCAGTGAAAGCAAATGGGCTGAAAAGAACGATATTGTGGAGTTGTTGTATGTTGGTATATTAGTACATAAAGTGTCACGTGTAATTGGTTTCTAGACAAACAGGGAAGCAAGCATGATTTGCATTTATTATTTCCTCTTCCTAACTGTAGTAACAGTTATCCTTTGTCTGCAAACCTAATTTCCAAGGTCAGTTCCGTTTTAATAAGTTTATAGACACATACTGGAATGTGTAGGCAAAGCTTGATGCAGGACACTACTATGGTGCAGCATGTTTCCAAGCAGTGATCTACCCGCTATTGGACCACCTGCCATGAAAATCCATAGAAAACAATGGGCAGCAACTACCAAATGCTCCTAGTTGCATTCAGGACCCATTTCCAAACAGTAACAGATGGACTGAGTGTTTTGGCTAAGGGCACATATTTAGATCATTATTTTGGTCAAGCACATTACGATTGGTTTTCATTATGGCCAGAGATATGGGTTGCATTTATTTATGCTTGTTTTTACACTGTTTACATAGCTTTAACTCATGCCAGCTCCATCTTGCCAGCATTGCTATGGGCCATTGATTTGGAGCAGGTGTAGCCAAACTTTGGCACTCCAGCTGTGTTGAACCTACAAACCCTATTAGGCATTGGAGGACTCTGACAACCAGTGGCGTAACCAGAGTTATGGGCGCCCGGGGCAGAGATTTTTATGCCCCCCCTATTATATCAAAATCCACTGGAACTGTACCCCCCACCCCTCACATGTTTTTATTTTAATTTTTTCACATTTTAAAAATATTTTTTGTATATTTTATTTGTATTTATTTTTTAATAAACTTTTTAATTTTTTACATGTTTTTTTAT